ACAAGGAGTGTGTCGGTTTTCGTTTATTTACAAATCATTCTTTGTTTTTGTGAAGAGTCATGCTGCTGTTTCTTTAATGGAGAGGCATTTGTCACGAAGGATGAAGGTGCCAAGAAGAAAGGAAAACATTTCTTCTTCCAAGTGATGTAAAAATTGCACACCAAGTATCACTGGCAGGTCACCCAACCAGCTAAAGCTATTGTGGCTTTAACTAAAGGTAAATGGGGGCAGGCAGAATGCATTATTTAAAGTAATTGTTGTTGGTGTATCTAACTGACTGTCTACAACTAAATGAGCAGAAGCAGCTTTCCATTATCCTGTTAACCTGCAACAAAAACTAAGAGCGTTGAATAATTAATTCCACAAGCATTTTGGGGACTTGATGCAATGTAAGACATTAGAGCATGTCATAAAGCATTTGTATTTTATAAAATTCCTGTTTTTATGTAAGATGAATGGATGCCATTGCAATGCAATAGATGTGGCCATAGGTCTGAATGCTTAGCAGCAGACATTGTATTATTCAGTGGTGTCGTTTGATGCCTGTGCAAGTTGCAATCATGCACACAGGTTTATTCTCTAGTATACTTCTGCAAGAAGGTCATGCTTTCACAGTTTCAATGCCAGCAGCCTGAATTAGCTTTTCTTCTACTTCTTCCTAAGAATATAAGGAAACTGCCTTATATTGAATAAGAACATTGGTCCAGCTAGCTCAGTTTTGTCTGCACTGGCTTACACTGACAGTGGCTCTCCAGATTTTCAGAGAACACTCCCAGCCCTATTTGAAGATGCAATTTCTTTGAAATTGTGGACTTATGGTGTAGGCAATCATTTTAGCGTGTTCATTCACTCAATAATGTGAATAGAAAAAGATCTAATTAGACCTCCCTCTAGTGCTTTCCTGAAAGAAAGGACAAAAAGAGAGTTGTCCAAAGCAAAGTATTTGTCAGTGACTATAATGAGTTGTTATATTTCTCTGACACTTACACAACACAGATGTCATTCCAATGCCTTTGAAAAGCAGGTTTTCTTCACAGGTGCCCATATTTGTTCTGTCATATTGTGAGAAAAGCAAACATTTTGCAAATTAAACAATCATTTATATGAAACATCACATATTTGGGGTTTTTTTAAGAAGAGGATAAGCTTCAATTTGTTCCAACATCTGGATCTTGTTATTTCAATAGCTTTCCCTCAGTGGTAGAAACATTGTCTAATATGTGCCTTCTGTCATTTTGATTGGTTTAGTTGTTTATCGGACGACGAAAGTCTACTGTGTGGGGCTATACATGAATCTGTACATGAATCTTCAAGATGCTTAAATTGAATCACGTGGCTTTAAAATCTCGAAGAGCAGATGGCTCTCCAATCATTGCAACCTAAAAAAGACAATATGCTTCCTGAGACTATGTAGGCCAAAAGCAGCTATTTGTGTGTTAAATGTTGCAGGAGAAATTAAAAGTGAATATGGAATAAATACGACCAAGAATAGTTCCTGTACATTATTACTTAAATGTATTTTTATGCACTTTATCTGATATAGTTCTTAACCACTCTCTGGGGTACTACAGGTTGGTGTACAAAATGTGATTAAAATTTGCACAGCATAGAAATATAGTTGAAAACTGACAAATAAAACTTTACAAGATCCAGGACATAAAACCAAACCAAGGCTAAAAACAGAGCAATGGCCCTCCTCCAGGAACAAGGAGAACCTCGTTGGATCAGTTCAAGGACCCATCTCATTCTGCATCCCAATCCCATGCACAGCCAGCCAGATATATATGGGAAGCCTACAGGCCTGTGTATAACTGTGTTCTTCCCACTTAAGATGTTTAGCAATTGCTGTTCAGGGGCATACTGCTATTAACAGAAGATAGCCATTGTGATTAGTAGCTACTGCTAGCCTTAGTCTTCATTAATTTGTCTGATCTGGCTTTACCAAGCTGGTGGCTATATTGTACCACTACTGTATTTTCTATGGTCCACAAGTTATATTCACATTTTGTACAGGTGGTGGATATGTTTTGCTTCTGCTGTCAGAGAGGCACTATGTCTTGGAATCAGGGGCATAGGAAGGGGGCGGTAGGGGCGGGCCGCCCTGTGTGCCCTCACTGAAGGGGGTGACATTCGGCACGCCACCCACCCGGAACTCCCAAGTCTGTCCTGAGCCATTGGAGTAGCGGGGAAGCTGTGCCACTTTGCCAGCAACATTCCCTCCTTCCCCCTTTATTTTGAGAGCTTGGGAGAGGCTCGGGAGTTGTGGGTGGGCAGCGCGCCAAATTTCCACCACGGGCGGCTTGCTCCACCCCCAGCTGCAGGGTGCGTGCACCGCTCCAGGCACCCAAGTGGCTATCCCATGCTTGGGAGGGCACCCTCCGCACCATGCTCACCTCGGGAGCGCGCCCACCCTGGGCTCTGCTGCTGCTTGGAATACCAGTTCTCAGGAATCACAAGTGGGGGGGGGGGGAGTGCTGTTGCACTGGAGGCTTTCCATAAGCATCCAGTTGGCTCCTGTGGCTACAAAATGCTAGATTAGATGGGTCTTTGGCCTGATCCTGCAGAATTATTTTGACGATCCTATGTTTCCCCTAAAAGTCATGTGTTGGAGAATAAGCTCTTAAGAGGGGAAACTACTGCACTCCCTATGAGCTTAAAAACAAAGTATACAAAAACAACATACAGAGGTTGAGAAGTTTATCCCTTACAGGGCTAGAAGTCCCAATACCATTAAGAAACTACAGTTCCCAAGATTCTTTTGGGAGATATGTTATTTATATGGGCTTTAAATGTATAGTGTACATATGGCCAGTATCTACAGGAAGCCCTCTCCTGTGGAAAGAAGTTATCAGTTAGATAAACATGAGATGAGAGGATATTTTAGGTATCCGTTAGACCTCAAAACAGGACTTTCCTGGGGGAACAAAATGTTGGTCACTTAGAATGTCTTTTCGCCCTAAGTGTGCGAAGGTCAGTGTATCACAGCGATTGCAGCTGGTGTGGGAACACAGGAAATTTTATTATTCTTATTCTTTATTAAATTTGTCTACCGCCCTATACCTGCAGGTCTCAGGTTAGTTCACAGAGTCAGAACATTGGCCCATCTAGGGAACCTTTTACAAGATATTTGCAGAAACACCAAAAAAACATGGACTTGCTGGCAGGATTTAAGTAAACATTTACAATTTTATTTACATAAAACAAGGAATATAACATATATATAAGTACATTGGCCCATCTAACTCTGTATTTCAACACTGATTGGCGATGGTTCTCCTGGGTTTCAGGAAGAGGATGCTTTGGAGATATTGGGAATTGAACCTGTGGCCTTCTGGATGCAGAGCAGCTGCTCTACAATTAAGTTATGGATCATCCATAGGTTTAAGTTGCTTAAACCACCACTTCCCACAGGCTTTGGTACTGGTAACAATAAGCTCCTGAAGCAGGTATTTAATTCTTTAAGACCCATATTATCACTAATCATACTGTTAATGTACTATGTAGCTTCGATCCTATCTCTCAAACAAGCTTTGATGATATTGCTTTTAAAAAGGTAAAGGTACCCCCTGACCGTTAGGTCCAGTCGAGGAAGACTCTGGGGTTGTGCGCTCATCTCACTCTATAGGCTGAGGGAGCTGGTGTTTGTCCACAGACAGCTTTCGGGTCATGTGGCCAGCGTGACTAAGCCGCTTCTGGTGAACCAGAGCAGTTCACGGAAATGCCGTTTACCTTCCCGCCGGAGCGGTACCTATTTATCTACTTGTACTTGACGTGCTTTCAAACTGCTAGGTGGGCAGGAGCCGGGACTGAACAATGGGAGCTCATCCCGTCGTGGGGATTCAAACTGCCGACCTTCCGATCAGCAAGCCCTAGGCTCTGTGGTTTAGACCACAGCGCCACCTGCATCCCGATATTGCTTTTACCCATATAAAAATGATGCAAATAAATTGGATAGATGAATTGAAACATGGATTAAAACACATCTGATTAAACAATCAAATGGTATTTAATCAGGTTGCAGCAAACACCCACAAACCACCAGTGGAAAGAACTAGAATGGTTCTTAGAAGACACAGACATTCATACAGAGAGAGGACTGGTATTTTTGAGGAATAAGTATTGAAAGTCACAGGGGACAGAAAAGCTGTAAGATCTCCTTGCATACACAGCAGTAACCCAGATTCCAAGACATTGAAAAACATGAATAATGGAGCAATTTGCACATGCAAGAATAATACTTATTAGTCAACTGAATGCAAGGCCTGAAGTTAGGTCACAGGGGTCTGCAGCTGGCCATTTTCTCACAAAGAAGCCAGATACTGTAATAATAATAACACAACCACCAAGCTGAATTACACCTTAAGCACTCAATTGCACCACTTACAGCGTTATCTGTTATTTCTTGAACATTCACAGCAGGCGGCTGGTAGCACATGCAGCAGGCGGAGGAATGGGACTCGAATTGTCTTTAAGAAATGTCGCATATTAACTAAAGGCTTTGAAGGCTCAGCTTAACTTCTGTTTGTTGCCATTGAATGTATTTTCTCGTTAAGTCTCCAGATGTACAACTTATTTCACAAGAAGCCTGCTCATCGCTTTAACTTCCAGCTCTGCAAAGATACATTTCAGCGGAAGATGGGTAAAGATGGCTTGACCATCTGCTTTTGCTACTGAGCAATGTTGAGTTAGATGGAAATTCTAAAAAGCTGGGGGGAAAGGAGACTGCAATCTGCTCAATCCACTTGGGTTTATCAGACCTATGCAAGACTGATGAAGGTCTTCCAGAGGTTATACAGATATACAGATAAGATGCAGATATTTTTTGAAGGCACTGCAGTGCTGATAGCTTAGTCCCCTCCACCAGATGGCTGCCCATGTGGTATAGCACAAGAGCTGGAGAGGACAAATTCTAACCCTGCTGGGAGAGAACAAGGATGAGCTCAGCTTTTCTTTGTCCACCCAAAAGAAGCAGAAAAGGGGAAAATAGTAGATCCCAAAATCCTCCATGGAAATATTGTACTCAGGTTGTGTCAGGTCCAGCTAAGACTCAAACCAAATGCCTTCTTGTCTATATGCAAGTGCCCCAGTTGCTAGGAGTCATGAGTTGGAGAAAGTTATTGCCTCCTGTTCTGATTGTGAGCTTCCCATAGGTATCTGGTTTGCCACTGTAGGAACATAATTCTGGACTAAATGGGTCATTTGTCTGCTCTATCAGTGTTGTTCTTATGAACAGAGGGCAGGTAAAGAACAATTCTGCCTTTCAAGAAGGGCTGTCCCTAAGCCCTACCTGGAGATGCCAGGAAGTAAACCTGGGATCTTTTGTATGCAAAACAGATTTGATTCCATTGAGCTATGGCCCTTTTCCTGTTTAGACTGAAAAGAAAAAGAAAGAAAACAAGTGTTAGACAAGCACTGTAAACTTTGCACTGTTGCTGCCTGCTCGATATTAATAGAGAGGGAATTTCTGAGGAAAGACACTACACTATTTTTTAAGAAGTATGTACCATGACTTCAATGGAATTTACTTTCAGGAATATAAGATTGCCATTTGAGATGGAATGACAAAAAACAGATAGATCACTTCGTACCCACTGTACAGCAATTTGCACTGGCTTGAAGAAACAGCTTGATGTAAATAAATATTATCCTGCATTGCCTCCTTTGCTTCTTGCAACTAAAAGGGAAAATAAAAAATCTCTGTTTCCCTGCAGCTCTCTTATTGCTTTAGAATGACCTGGCTGGCACCATAGTTGCAAAGCACTGTTTTAATATTTCATAATAAGGGCAGGGTGCACACACACACACACACACACACACACACACAGCAACTTGAAATATATATTTAATGCTTGGACCTACTTGGACATTTCTTGTAAAGAATAGTTAATGGCTGGGGCACTTTAGTTGATGTTGCAGAATTTTAAAACATGAAGAATGGCATAAGTACCATTGTCTGAATAATACAGTCATTTCCGCGTACATAAATGTCATTGTTTCTTTGTCAGGCTGCATCAAGCCTAGCGAAACATGATGTGCTTTTAACTACTAAGAGAGATTTAAAAGACTCTTACACTCTTCATGCCATAGGTTATTGCTAAATGACAAAGAAAGCTACAAGACCAGCAATCAGATTGGCCAGAAAGAGAGATGGAGTCTCCTTAATCAAAAAGCCTGACCACTGTTTCAGAGGAGCTGGCTATTTCCACTGTAACGGATGGCAACACAACAATTAATATTGTAGTTCCTTTAACTTTACTTAATTAGGCTTCAGGCAGACGTGAACTAAGATTAAGCACAGAGGTCATGATCTAAGGAGATAGCTTGTGCCAAGTCATCCAATTTAACTACCTTAGAGGAGCAGCAATTTTCCCAGCTCTCAGGAAATAGGGATGCATACAAACCATTTAAGTATATTCCCTCCCCCAAGGAATAATGTGAACTGTAGTTCATTAAAAATGATGGGAATTGTAGCTCTGGGAGCTCAGTTCCAAAGATTCTTTAAGACAGATGTGCTTTAAATGGATGGTGTTGGTGCACTGTGCAGCCCAGTTCTTGAGGCTTCCCTAAAGGCCTTTGGCTGGCCACTGGGGTTAAAAACCATGAGTGTAGATCTGGCCTAGGTAACCCTTTGCTGTTCTTATATTCTTACACTGTTACAGTGGGAAGTTTGGTTAGAGTACAGATTCTGTCTATACCAGGGATGGGGAACTTCAGGTCCAAATGCAGGCCAAAGTAAATAACAATAGCATAACAGAATGTAATAGAACATCATAAACACAGCATAAACAATATCAAATGATTATCATCAATAAAACAATTGCAATCTATAAAACACTATTGAAAAAAGCAACTAAAAATAAGCTAAACATCACTATTGCAGCAAAAGTCATATTATACAGGTAACAAATTAATATGGCATTTAAAATCTATAAAGCCATTTTAACAACATTAAATAACAGTAACTAAAACAAAAAGGTACTGTTAAGTCCATATGTATGCAGAAAGAAACCTAAAGAAAGACTGTAGCCGACTAGACTATTTTATGCTAAACTAAAACACTTCATTCTTGTTGGGGACCAGGATACCTGCAGGGATCACATCTCTCCTTTCTGACCTGAGCGTTCTGCAGAGGCCTTCTTGGTAGTTCCACTATCTGAGGCAGGATTAGAGCCTTTCTCTGTTGGCCTGCTTCTTATGGAATTGCTTTCCCTTGGAGCTCTGACAAACACCAATGAAGATGATATTTGGGGCATGTATGAAATTAATTAAGGGTGTTCTTTGGGCCACTAGTCACATTTCATTTCTATTATTGTTTTTTATACTATTTTATTGATTTTTTAAAATTGATTGTACACTGCAGAGAGATTGTACACTGCACTACTGAGAGAGAGAGGGAGAGAGAGAGAACAAATACGAGGGTCGCTCATTAAAGATTTACCCTGTCCCACTTCAGTTATCGTAGGAAGATGAAATTGCATATATATTATGATACATCTCTTCATAGGTAACGTGGTAATTTGTAGCTCTGAACTCCTAACAGTTTCTCTGTTACTAGTTCTAATGTGGCGTAACGTCTGATAATGGAACCAGTTGAAGCAGAGGTCATCAGGTTCCTGTACTTGAAAAGGTGCACACCATGGGAGACGTTCAATGAGATGAAAGGGACTTATGCGGAAGATGCCCCATCGTATGATGTAGTCAAGCACTGGCATCGTCAGTTCAGGTGTGGCCAGACTTCGGTGGAATGGCTCCTGTTTTGGAGGATTGCCACATAACCGTTCACCAACTAGCTGCAGATGTCAAGATCAGTGTGGGCTCTGTAGAAAAAAATCATCCATGACCATTTGCACATGGGAAAGGTATCCGCACGGTGGGTTCCCCGGCTGCTGATGCCTTTCCAGAAGCAGGAACAAGCTGCATGTTCACAGGCTCTTTTGGCCATGTGTCACAAAAACCATGATGACTTCTTCGCCAGACTAATTACTCAGGAGGAAACATGGGTCCATCATTATGACCCAGAGACTAAATCCCAGTCTAAACTATAGAAGCACTCTGCCTCACTACCTCCAAAGAAGGGACGTGTCCAACCATCAGTGGACAAGTTCACACTTACGGTCGTTTGGGACCAGCGTGGAGTAGTGGTGATGGACTTCCTGGCAAAGGGTACCACAATTACCAGGACATACTATGCTTCACTGCTGTAGAAATTGCAGAAGGCCATCAAAATTGAGAGGCATGGTATGCTGACCAAAGGTATTTGCCTCCTGCAGGATAATGCCCCAATTCACAACTCGCATGTTGCTCAGACGGAAGCATGGTCCTGTGGCTATGAAATCCTTCCTCACTCCCCTTATTCTCCCAACCTCGCACCATCAGACTTCCACCTCTTTCCAACCATTAAGTTATTTTTGAAAGGCAAGCTTTTTCCAGATGATGAAATGCTGATGAAAGTCAAGTCATGGCTTCTGACACAACCTGCTGACTTCTACAGATGAGGGCTCCACAACTGCATAAAGCGATGGGAGAAGTGTGTGACTCTTGCTGGTAGCTATGTAGGGATGGACTAATAACTGTGCCAAGTTTCATTTGTCTCAGTCCATGGGAAGTACGTCAGGGGAAATCTTTAATGAACGCCCTTCGTATATCCGGAACAGGTCTAGAACTTACAACTACACAGAGTGCTAGGTATAGTCAATAAATGCTGCACCAGTCTTACCATTTAGATTGTATAGTCAGATATGATTCTCGTTGGATTAGGACTATTTTGCACAAAGTTTACAGGGATGTTAGATTATGTTGGTTATTTCTTATTTATTCTGATTTGTCTGCAGGAAAATAGAGGAGGTTGCATCAATCAAATGTTTTCCCACATTTATCAGTACATTTCCCCATCACTTTCCTTGTAGCAAAAAGTCAGATAAGGGTGGGAGGGGGTGTGCATGAAAGCAGTTGTGCAATACTGCAAAATTAAATACATCTTTAACAGTAGAAACTGAATTTGCTGGTACATAAGGCTGCAGTAAGACAGCACTTTATTCCATCTTCCAGACATTTACTTACCTTTTAATTTCCACATTTAAATACCATGACCCTGCAAGCATCATCCAAGACCCTTCTTAGTTTGACTCCTCCAAAAGGCTTCCAGAGAGTGGCAACACAAGAATGGACAATTTTCTTTGGTGGCTCCTCATTTCTGGAATGCTCTCCCCAGGGAGGCTTGCCTGGCACCTTCATTTCATATCTTGAGGCACCAGGCAAAACATTTATCTTTAATGAAGTCTTTGGCCAATTAACAGTAAGGCCTACAAGGCCTACACAATCATTCAAGCCTAAGCCTGCTAACAGCAAACTGCTAAGTCACTGTGACTTGTGACTCATCTTGGGTGATGACTCGTTCTCCCTATAAAAATAGCCAGCCTCTCTATGGGCCTCAGTCAGAGAGCTGTATGGATTGTGAATGGAGTAGTCTGTGGAATAGTGCTGTTGTTGTTGCTATGTAAAGCTAAGGCAGACAGAGTGGCTCCAGGATTCTAGTAAATCAGTAAACTAAGACTGTTCCTCTCTGTGAAGAGTCAGATAGCTGCTATGAGCACTCTGTGTATGCTCTTTAACTATGCTGTTTCTGAACAACTTTATTTTCTTCAGTAAAGTTTTATTCTGTTTATGAAGAAGGCTGTGTGATTAATTTACCGTTGTGCTACACTTTATTGGTATGCTTTTGTTTTACTGTGTATTTTGTGTTCTCATTTTGTATTTTTATGTTGTGCAATACAGTGGTACCTCTAGATACGAACGGGATCTGTTCCGGAGCCCCGTTCGCATCTAGAAGTAAACATAACTAGCGATGGCACGTCTGCGCATGCGTGCGTCGCTTTTCGTCGCTTCTGCGCATGACATCATTTTGAGCGTCTGCGCATGCGCAAGCGGCGAAACCCATAAGTAACGCGCTCCATTACTTCCGGGTTGCCGAGGAGCACAACTCGAACGCGCTCAACTCGAAGCGTATTCCACCCGAGGTATGACTGTACCATGTTGTGTAAGCCACTTCTGGAAATCCAGTGGAATCTAGCAAAAGTTTGCACTCACTTCATGTTAATTGTTTCTGGGGCGGTGGTGGGTGTGGGAGAGGAATCCATTTGCAACCCCCAAGTGTTGCACTGTACTTTCGTGTGTGTGCCAAATTTGGAGAAGCATCCTGGTATACAGTTCTTTCCCGCCATTTAAAACTTAGAATGGCATCGCTGTATATCAAAAAGGCACAGTTCCATAAGACAAAAAGGTACTGTAGTGTAAAAGAAATGTTAGAAATTGGGACAGACTAAACTGGAATGCTAACATTGTAATCAGTAAAACTAGTGCAATATACCCAAAGCCTGAATACAGCCTAACTAAATCCCACCCAAATATAGCAACAATTTGGAAGCATTCTTAATAGATCTAAGAAGACCAAAGAACCAAATGGACAAATGCATGCTAGAGTTTTTGTTTGTTTGTTTGTTTGTTGTTTGTTTAAAAAATGCATAGTGTTTTCTTTCCAAAGAAACACTGGTGAATAGAAACTAGCAGGAATTTGCATTGTGGCCATAGCTCCTTCTGCCCCTAACTTGAGCTTGTTCTCTTTTTTTTCTCTTAACTTCTAATCATTTTATTTAGACTCTCAATGATTCCCATAATGCATCTGTGATGCCCAGGAGCAAAGTAGGTCTATAATGAACATCTCATTTTATTTTATATATTCAAGCTTTGAACATTTTTCAGTGGCTGGCTTACGTGTCTCACATTCAAATGTGATTTGGCAAGAAGAAGAAAAGGTCTGGGAAATTCTGTTTGTCTGGAGAAGGGCTGCTGTCTTATTTCCAGAAAATAAAGATAGATTCTTATTGGGAAGTCTTACCATACTGGAGTCCCCATAAGATGCATTTGCCTTGCCCGTTTTGCATGGCAAGACTTTCCTTTGAATGTTCTCTCTACATGGTAAGTCATTGGAGAGAGCTCTTGAAATCTAAAGCTTTGCCTATCCATATTTCTGATAAAATGTAAGACGGAAGTAAATGACCATTAAAAGGCAACGAGTTGTTAAAGAAACTAAAACAAATGTAATTCTGGTAACTTCTAGAATAGACTCTGTTATGTTGCAAACCCCAACCTCATTCGACTCAGACTAAAGAAAAACCAAACTCCAGTGCTGCTGCTTTCTTAGGATCAGTTATAACCTCTGACTTTTGTGAAAGGCACCTCTTCCATTTAAGGGGCATAGCCCACTCCAGAAACTAAAGAGCCCCAGCAATTGTTTACTCAGATAGAAAAGAAGAAGCCCTGGTTGCACCTGGGCTCCCCTGATAGAGTCTTGGGAGTCAGAGGACAAAAATGCAACATCCTTGGGTCAGAGGACTGAAACTCATCTTATGCACATGCTTCCAGGGCTGAAACTGATTGAAATTCCATTTAGGACTCAGAATCCTTGCTGTCATCCCCTGAAGAAGGGGGATTCAATCCTTGGGTTCTAATATACTGCTGTAATGCACTGTATATGGGGCTGCCTCTGTGAACTACTCAGAATTTTTAGTATGTTCAAAGTACAGTCAAAGGGTGGGACCAGCTGAAGGATACACTTATTTTTTAAGCAACTGGATTGGCTACTGGTTCAGAGCACAATTCAAAATGCAAGTGCTTAATTCTAAAGTTCTAAGAAGCCAAAGGTATCTAAAGGACCACCTTCTTTGTATTGAACATACTCATTCCTTCAAATAGATGGCCATTTCTACGGACAACAAAGCAATTTTATATTTTCCTTCAGGGTGAATGTAACACAGTTGTCTTAAGAAAATAAGGATCAAAGTTATATTGAAAAGCCACATGTCCTACTTTGCTAAGGAATCTCCTCTATTTGAAGGGTTCAATACAAGTTTAAAGATCAGTAACCTTAAGAAGGGAGAGCGGGGGCTTTCAAGATATATTTCAGAAGTTGGGACCTGGACAACTGAGTCAGTGAGCACAATCACTATCTGCTCATAGTCTTCCCCACCATGGTGAGATGTATCCCACTCATATTTAAATGGTTTCTTCATTTGTATGCACAGACACACCAGTATGCAGGCACATTTCTTCCTTTTTTAGTGATGCATAGGTGGCCACACACCAGGCTATTTAATGTGTTGTGCTCCACTCTGATTTGCCGTAGAGTCTCAGGTCTCAGAAGATTAGTCTTTCCTAGAACTTAGGGTTTGAGAAACTGGATGCTGGACAGCATAGAACTTGGATGGCATCTAGCAGCACTGGCAGGAGCAAACCTAGCCTTTTGATCCTTTTCAGATTTAACTTTCATGGGTGCCAGGGGATATGATAAACTCTCTTGTATTATCTGCCCTCTTTCTACTCTCATAGAATTTTAGAGTGGGAAGGGACTCTGAGGGTCAGCGAGTCCAACTCTCTGCAATGCAGGAATCCGGCCCACAGCTATCCCCAGGAACTCTTGTGGCTAAGGGGTAGGTAAAACTCACAGGAATCATGAGTAGTTTTGATCCTGCCATCTTCACTCCTCAGAATGTGTCTAGGCATCCAAAACAAACAAACAAACAAACAAACAAGCAAACAAACAAACCAATCAACCATTCTACGACATGTCCAGTTTCCACCTCCACTAGTTGGTTTGGGGTTTCAAAATATCATTCTATTTGTTCCCGGTGGTATGCCATCATCATGGAGGGGTCATGTCAGGGTGGCCCCTGGAGGCAGGACTTCTGGGATCAGATGTCATGTGCCATCATCAATCAAACTCTAGGGGGAGTGGCATAAGCATTTGACAGACGGTATTATTCATATAGGACTTTCTCATTCCTCTGTTTGGTCTGAGAATGTACCGATAGCACATCAAATGCTCCTTTGCCATTGCTCATTGAAGGGGAATATTGGTAGTTGGGGATAAGACGCCTTTCAGAGAAGATAGCCTGCCATTGCCAATCTTCTTAATGAGAGATGCCAGATCAGCTCACAAAGAGCCTCAAGTCTCCCTGGAAGAGCTTGAAAACTGACTAAGCATATCACAAATAAATGATCCTGAACTACAATCCTGTGCTTCTCTACCATAAGCTGTGTGTTGCACCAGACATGTCATGAAATTAAAGGAGCAATGGTGTCATAGGTGGTTTGCTGAACTGATCTCCAGCTCTGTATTCTATTAAAACATTTTTTTAAATGTATCTACTTTTGAACCAGCTCTTGACATAATGTGGGATGATTCCTTCTTCTATGGCGTCGGGGGTAGAATAGCCAGCAGAAAGTGTGGTCCTACTCCCACAGAGATACGCGTGAGCACAATCAATAAAAATCTATTTTAGCACTTAACTAGGGCATGGCACAAAGCAAAACTGTTTATCCCTCCCCTCTCCTACATTGTGCTGTTTACAAAGTGAAAATACATTGTCATGTTTCATTATATCAGTACTAGAGCTCAGGGATCCTTTTTTATGAGCCTAGATGCAAGTTATAGGGGCATTTTATGTAGAAGAGAAGGACTTCTAGCGTTTGGGGAATCCTAGAGAAAGGCTTGATTGAAAGCATGAAGATTAATAGTTTAGGCAGCTGGAAGCTGCCTGCCTGAAACTAAGATCAAAGAGAGAATCCAGGCAATACCATGATTGTGATATTTATTAATATCTATCATATTTGCTGGTGCTGGTTTTGATTTTTAAAACACTGCCTTAGAACCAGGGTACTTGAAAAAGCACCTGTTTCCATATGCCCCTGACCATATGTTAAGCCTTCAGCAGGTCACCTTCTGTAGCTGTCTCCACCATTTATGTATTTTCAAACAAGAAATGTAGCATTCCTCTCCCTCCCGCCCCCATACATAAGTCCTTATGTAGAGAAAGGGAGGGAGGATAATGTTATTGAAACATGACCCCGTGGGCCTGCCTGGCAATTTGTCCATCTTTGCATCCCATTGCTTCAAGTAGCCTCCAAAAATGCCACTTTCCAGCAAATGGCTTCTTTTTTAAAGTGTTTTCTTGCTGGATACACCACAAGACTCTTCACGCTGGGAAAAATACTGGTCTCCCGGGGCTGTGGACATTTATATTCAGAACCAGATGGCATATTGGAAGGAATACAAATCATCCCCAACTCTTTGTGTTGTGACATTTCAGACATTGGAGGGGGGGAATTAGAATCCATCCCTTTTAAAGGTGTAGCTCTGTCTGTGAACTCTGATAGCTCTGTGGAGTAAGAGATTTTCCTTAACTACTCATGACATTTCTTCTCCCCCTCCCTCCCTTCTCTCTTTGGAACCTTTAAATTCTATCTGTAAATTCAAACACTGCTATCCATTTGCTGAAAGGGGGTAAAACTGATAGCAAGAAGTGATGCTAGGCTAGTCTCACAAAATAGCTGCACAAGTCATTTG